TTGGTTGATTGTGAGTGGAGCACCACACATGCACGGATTCAGAAGCAGTGATACCTATTGCCTTTTTTACCTTAGCAAATAGGAGGAGATAGCAAAGAAATACTGGCAGAATTTCCTTATGAACTTCCCCCCCACCCCTTGCTCAAATAAGAAACCTTTATTTGTTATGGAATTGTCTCCTACCTCGCTGCATGTCCCCCTTACGCTGCAACTATCTTGTTTTCATTGAGTTCCTGATGATTCATCCCCATTAATTGCACTCATTCCCTCCCGTGTCCAATAACACGCCTGTTGTATAACATCTCCGACTTTCTGACATCGTCCCTTGCCATGCCAGCAGTTGCTGGTTGAGGAAGAAGAGGCAGCATCAGGTGTGACCTGAGCGTGCTGGTACACCCATGCGTGATAGCTGGCCATCAGCAAGCCAAACAGAACTAGTAACTCTTCGTCATAGCAATCGTTCTTCAAGGATACTGATTTTTGGTGGGTGTCCCTGCCTACCTGCCATTGAATATCAAGCTGCTTGTTTGATCAAATGCGACTGAAATTGCTTGAAATGCTCAAAACTTACTAGTGGGACTGACAGTCTTGGCTTGATGGATAGCATGACTGCCATCATCATTGTTTTTGAGGAGAACAGACTGAAAATGGCTGCTGGTTAGGATGGAGTAAATGTGTGGCTGTTAACAGGAACGTGATGGTCTTGATGCGATAGAGCATTTAACTGTGCACTAAGCACGTGCTCAAGAGTTAAACGGGCCTTTAATTGTTACGGTGTGTTGTGATGTTTAACGAAATGAGATTTTGTCATAGTATTATTGTACGTTAGCATTGTTTGAGGAGATAACTGTAGATATTAAATATAATGGCAAAGATACTTGTTTTTTATAATTTTGTAAATTAGCTGTTTTAAGGAATGATTAAAGTGGCTTTGAATTTATCCTTGTAGAACCCCCTCTGGAAACAATATAATCATATACTTCCCAAACTAGATGTGAATGGAGGTACCACAATAAATGCTAGTACTCACAAGCTACTGCATGTAACGTTTTGTAGTTTATCTTATGTTTCTTGCTGATGAATCTCCTCTTCCCTTTATCATGCATTTCCAGTTCCTCCTAATATTGTTGGCTCTGAAATGCCTAGTGAGGTCAGCGTCCTCCTGGGAGAAAGCATCCAGCTCGTCTGCAATGCCGATGGAGTGCCCACACCTGTTATGCAATGGCTCAAAGATGGAAAAACAGTTGCCAGTGATGATGTACAAAGAATAAGGCAAGCAACAATAAGCAGATGCTCCATTCTCTTCTGTTACAAATTTAAACCTCAGAAGGCCCTAAAGAGGGAGCGTGAAGAGGGCCCTGAGGGAGGGAGTGTAAAGAGGGCCTAAGCCTTAGCTTAGCCAGGTTAAGAACATCATCTCCATCTTTACCTTCTATAAATCCAGTATACTTTGTTACTACTTTGTTTGGGGTTTTTTAATATTTTTTTTTTTTGTACAGAGATAAGTATATGATATCTCTTTTCTTTCTCAGTTAATAAATTCCATTAAAGTTTGTCAGGTTCATTAAAATTTATTAAGGTCAATAAATTCCATTAAGTTCCTTTGGAGGGGAAAGATCAGAGACATGGGAACATTTTACTCTTGATGCTTTTCATTATGAGTTCTTCAAAAACCTGGTTCGAATAGAATCCTAATACAAGGTTAAACAGAGCATTTCTAGGAAAAACTTCCTAGCTTATCGCTAATAATAATATTTTGCAAAACCACAATGGTTTTCTCACTGAATTTCCAAGAGGATAGAGGTAGTTGATTTAAATGTACAAAACTGGACTGTTTATTTGCCAGGTCCTAGGCATATGTAAACAAACTCACTGTGTTTTATGACCTTCCTTGTAGAGTAACTCCAGATGGCAGCACATTAAACATTTTCAGAGCTCTCACTTCTGATACAGGAAAATACACTTGTGTGGCTACTAATCCTGCAGGAGAGGAAGACCGAATTTTCAACTTGAATGTATACGGTGAGTTTTCACAGATGTGAAACTGAAATCTGGTCCATAATCCTATCTTTGTAAGCACTCCCAAGAGAGGACCAAGAAATAAATGCCTGTCTTCAGCATAATACTACATGCATGTGTTTCCAATTGCACGTACTGTAGACACTGCAGTGTATTACAGAGGATGTTCTGTCAATGACAAAATTATTGAAATTGCTGGTAAATGTGTTTTGGGAGAAACAGAAATAAATTCCGTTGGTGTACTTCATAATAGGGAAATTCTACCTGTGGTGATTTTTTTTTTTTTCTTATAGAGAAAGATATACTTGGGGCAGATTTACTATGTTACTGCCTTTTTGTTGTATTGGTTTATCTTTGCTAATTCCAATCAAAGTACATCAGCTAAAACCAGAGTAATATGGTAGGGAACTAGTAGTTAAATGTCCCTAGAATTTAAAAGAAAAATTATAGAATTTTGGTTGAAATTCTTCTCTTGCACAATTGGACTTACAGAAGACAGCGAGCATAACTCTTCTTTAGCAGCATAGAGAGTGAACATTTTAATTTGTGAAAAATATGTTCATTAAGTACAATGACTAGTGCGAAAGAGTGAAGGGTTCTGCATAGGTAGCGTTCCACAGCGGTGTGTCTGTCCCAGTTATATGAAGACTTAGAATCAATTGGAATATAAGCATGAGCAGAGTAACAAGAGATGACCTTTGATATAATAAATAACAATACTGAATGACCATATCCCATCTTTTTGGGACAGATGGCACCACACGACAGTGGAGGTTTTTTTGATCAGTTTATATTGGTTGAGGTTCAAGCATTAGCCAACTGAAATGGTCTTATCTATGCAACTGCCATGGTGCGTGATGGGATCTTAAGTCAGTCAGAGCCTGGAGCTGCATGTGGCTGGGCCTTCTTTGTATAGTGAGTCCCCTCTTGCACCCAAGACCAAGGCTTTCAAACTAACCTATAAAACCAAAAAACCCAAAAAGCGGTTCTGGTAAAATAATCAGCCAGAATACTCAACTAGGCATTTTGAAATTTTCTATATTTAAAAATTAAGTCAGCATGTACATCTAGAAGTTAATAAACTAACTTTACTCCTGCACAATTCTAGCTTTCATTTTATTTAAGATTTATTTAAGGAGGTAAGTTTGAGTGGCAGCAATCTGCCAAGTCCCATCTGGCCCTTAAGCAGTTCAGCCCGTCGCCCCGAAGGCTTGACCACTTGCTCCTTCCTGCATTATCATCCTCTCCCCGTGAGCTTCAGGCTCTGAGCTCCCTCGTTTGCCACAGCCTGACAAATCAAAGAGATAATTCTACTGTCATTCTAAAGTGCATCTGATTTTAGATAAGTAAATGGATAATTTGTTAGTGCTCAATATTATTGTTAGAGGATTTACTCTTTAAAAAAAGGGGGATTTTCTTGTTGAATTGCCTGTGGGGCATTAGGTGCAGGATTTGCTGCAAGGTAACACATGTGGAATGGTTTTAAGAGCCAGTTTTAATATCTTCCTTTTCAAAATTTACAAAATGTAGTTCCTCCGACAATAGCCAATAATAAAGATGAACCAGAGGACCTCACTGCCCTTTTGGACATCTCCCTGAATATTGAATGTGCTGCTACTGGAACCCCACCACCACAGATAAACTGGCTAAAGAATGGCCTTCCTCTGTCTGTCTCCTCCCAAATCAGGTTGCTGTCAGCTGGGCAAATTCTCAGGTTGGTTTTTGAATCAGCTGTTTTAACTAGCTGAATCTCTTTTGCTGTATCAGCATAATTCTGCTGGTATGTTTGGAAGCAAGAATAAAATTTGATCCAAACCATACCATAATGAAGGTAATGTATTCCATTAACAGCTTGCTTAAAATGATTTTCTCTCTAGACTTGCCCGAGTGCAGATGTCTGATACTGGTGTGTACACTTGTGTAGCATCTAACAGGGCTGGCGTGGACAACAAACACTACAACCTTCAAGTTTTTGGTGAGTTTCCTCTGAAATGTTTTGTGAAAAGAATCTTATTTCTTGATTTCTTAAACCTAATATTTAGTTTTCTTTCTCACCAACACAAAGTTGTAGACAGCCACAAGTGTATCTTGTGTAGGTTATCATTAGGGAAACATTAACTTTTCAGTGTGTTTTTCTGAATGGAAAGTGTTTTAACTCTAGAATAGTCCTTGCTTGAATTGGCACCCATAATGTGTCACAGGTTTTTCAGAAAGCACACTAATATATAATTTCTAATTGAATTTTAACACGTGCTAAACTTGAATGGAAGTGGGGAAATGCAGAAGGGTAGCTGCATTCCGACTTTTTTGTATTCAGAATTAACATCTGGGTTGCACTCTGTATGAATCAGATCTTTGTTTCTCGGCAGTTCCACCGAGCTTGGATAACGCAGGAGGAACAGAGGATGTGACTGTAGTAAAAGGCAGTTCAGCTTCGATGAGTTGTCTTACTGGTGGCACTCCTGCCCCGACTATGTCCTGGTTTAAAAATGGACATCCTTTAAGCCTCGGAGCTCACCTGACCTCCAGTAACCAAGGAATGGTTCTTCATTTTGTGAAGGCAGAGATGGGTGACACAGGCAAATACACTTGTGTAGCATCCAATGAAGCTGGAGATACCAGCAAGCACTTTTCCCTAAAAGTGCTGGGTAAGTGTTAAGCTTTCAGTTGAACAAAATGCGAGCAGTAAATAAGTATCTACTCAGGACAACAATTGAAAAAATCTCTAGGGATAAGGAGTATTTTCAAGAAACGTTTACTGTGTTAAATGAGAGAAATAAGGAAATGGAAGATACCTAAAGCCGTGTGAGTGTGTAATATAGTATATATTTTTTCCCAGCGTTTCCTGAGTACTGAAATATGCTAATTTACAGAGTAATTTGGTTTAAATGAATAAGTGTGGTTAGTAGAAATTCAGCTTGATGGGATGGTAGCACAGCTGAAGGCCCAACAGCTAAACAGCAAATAAATATATTCACTGATATTAAATAATATATTTTACCTAGGATTATGAAAACATTTTCTAACCAATAATTCCAACTCATAAAATATACACATTAATAGAGAGAGGCAGATGGAAATTACATGGCATACTCAGTGAGTTCATGACACATTCAGAAATATCACTAATGTAGACTAATTTTGCAAACTCTTAACCACAAGGCTGTGTATCATGTTTTGTAGGCTCTTTGAGTCAATAAAGAACTCAAATGTTTTTCCTTCCACAGAGCCACCTCACATCAATGGTTCAGATGAACCAGAAGAGCTCTCTGTCGTCATTAACAACCCTCTTGAACTTCTCTGCATCTCTTCCGGCATTCCAGTCCCCAAAATCTCATGGATGAAGGATGGACGCCCGCTTCTGCAGAATGATAATGTTCATGTCCTAAGAGAAGTCCTTCGAATAACCAGTGCTCAGGTAGAGTATTTGTTTCAAAACAGGTTCGGTTTTGCGAACCCTAGAAGAGGGTGCAGACTGCCTGCTATTAGGACCATCCTAAGAGGTGTCCTAAAAAGCCTCTATAAAATCAGCCACCTGCATTTGCAGTTAGATAATATATTTTTCAAGCCTTGCCTTGGAGTTTCCCATACAGAACAAACGTTATGGGTTGAGGGTGGCCAAGCACTTCTGCATTTTCTGAGCGTTATTATTAGAAGTTCATTTCAGAGTTCTGTAATTTATTTATATATTGGTGCTGATGCTTTGTGTTGCAAAACAGAACAATCAATGCTAGGGACTCATCTTTTTCTGGGGTTATTTCTGGTTTTAGGCTGTGTCTGTAATCTGCTTTTGTTCATTTCTTACCTATTTGAATCTTATTGCTATCTCTTACTTTTCCTCTTTCATGTTTTATAGTTCCTCCTCAGCCGCCTTCTCTTTCTATTGCCTCAGATTTTCCTAATATCCATTTGCTTCTCACATGTATAAGCCATAGATTGCAGAGAAAAACTGCATTTGCAGTTTTCTGTGTGCAAGTTAAGAAAAAAGAAATAAAGACAATAGAAAGACTTTCAGATGAATTCAGACAATAAAAGAGTCCAGAGGACAAATAATCTTTAAAAACTTGCACCAATAAACTAAGGCTGTATTCAGCTGTGGACAGCCAGCCTGAAGTTCACCAAACAGAAGGGGGACAGGGCTCGGGACTGATTGCTGCTCATTTTGGTTTTTGTAAAGCAAACACTTCTTGTCTTTACAATGAAGAGTTTGCAGGAAGGAGAAAGCAGAAAGTTATTAGTGAGTACATGTGCACAGAAGGATTTCCCTAGTACCCAAACTGACCCTTGCTTAGATGGATACCTATAGCCAGTTCCATCTTACTGATTATCTGTTGCAAAAAGCATCACAAAGAGAAGGGTTCTTGCTGGAGCCGCATTATCCACAGAGATTTTGTGGGGTTCTGCAACTCCTAAGCCATCTCTGTAAAATCCTACCATGGTAAAGTTTCCAAGAACTGCATTGATTTATTTTCAGACATTCCTTATCTATTGTGTCTGTGTTCAAGTGCTGCCTGTTATATGTTGCTGTCCATGTTTGTATTTCACATTTTTTTCTGAAATGTTCCCATATTCCGAGGTTTCTGCTGAAGTTGTTTGTGTGTTTCTAGGTGGAGGACACGGGAAGATACACGTGTTTGGCATCTAGCCCAGCAGGAGATGATGATAAGGAATATTTAGTGAGAGTGCATGGTAAGTTTAATTTAGGGAAAAAAATTACCCCTTCAAAGCATCAGCTACTAAGGTACGTATCAGTATCTCATTTAACAAGTTACGTATTACTAAAGAAGAAATATGACATGGTTTGAGAAAGTAATATTACACCATATGATCATAATTAACATTTCTGAATAAGGGTAACTATTCTGAACGTGCTACACAATTAAAAGGGAAAGTTCCACCTGACGCAACTGATTTCTGTTAAAATTCCAAGTCTTATATTTTGAATACCTAGGAAGTTTATAGATATTGGTATTCAGTTGGATTGAGTTTATTGTGCTTACTGAAAAAGGATGTGAAGTATACTGATATCTATGATCATCTTAGTTTTTCAGTAGAAAAAGGTAAGGAATGTGTTTAGAAGTGAATACGGAAAATGTAGTGACAGTAAAGGAAGTATAAATGGGACTTGTATAATAAAAAGCCTCGGGTTTCTTCTTGGAGATTATAACTCCCATGTTTGTTGATGAACTGTTTATGGAGCTTGGTGGTCTCTGCTCTGTCTGGCTTAAATGCTGGTACTCTCACTGAGAATGGACTGTAATTTCTGTCACAGTAGTTTCCAGTGTGTGACTTAGGAAACGGGTTCACCAGTTAAACAAATGTGATATATTTAACACAGCTATAGAGAAGTAGAACTAATGAATGATACTGCAGCTTTGCATTTATTTTAAACTTAAGAAATAAATTAGAAATTTTCAATGAATAATTTTAATGGTAGCTCATACATCTGCTTTTTATTTTTTTCTTCATTTTTGTAACAGTTCCTCCTAACATTGCTGGTACTGGTGGTCCACAGGACCTCACCGTGTTGCAGAACAGACAAGTTATACTGGAATGCAAGTCAGATGCTGTGCCACCTCCAACAATCTCATGGCTTAAAAATGGAGAACTTTTAGAGGTATAGTGGTTACATTATTTGTACTAGTCTTTTGCTCCCGTTGTTTTTTTACACGCGGTGCTCGAGGTTTCTTATTCTGCTCAGTTGCCCCTTCAGTGCAGTCCAAGTTACGGTGCCTTGAATTCAAGAGAAGCTGAGTAGCCCCAGTACAAATCCAGTTAGTCCTAAATGAGTACCTGAAGCTAGCAAGCATGTGAAGTGGCCATCCCGCTGTTACTTGTTCTTTTTTCCTTTAGGGGGATCCCTTGCTCCTCCTGGATCCTCTGAACAATGCTAGAAGCCTTCGGTATACTCCTGAATGGCTTCCCAGGAAAGGTAGCTGAGAAAAGACTACACTATATGTTTCCTTTGGGTATATTATGCATCCTCATATTCTAGTAGCATTTAGAAAGGAATTTAAATTCTTTACATTGGAAAAAAAAAAAAAAGACAAGAAAATGGGTTGCTAATCACCACAGTTTTGTATCAAATGCACCTTTTTCACTCAGAATTCCATGTAGTGTCACGTTAAGGCATCGAGGCTTTGTTGGTTGAGAGACAATTGGCAAGATGAGGATGGTTTCTACAGAAAGGGTTTCTTACTTCCCATCCTCTTCCTTGGGATCGCTCAGAAACCGGTTACTTTCCAGTGGAACAATTTAAGTTCAGTTATTAATTGAACTTAATTGATAATTGTCCCTTGATCTTTATTCATTAATAAAGAGGAAACAAATTCATCTTATGAATTGTGTCTCCCTTAACTGTAGTCCATCAGTAGTCTTCACCTGAAGTTCTGCTTATTTGCTTTCCTTCTGACATGCCGTTCCCGAGACTCTCTCTCTACTGTAAATTTAGAAGAATGAAATATTAGTGGAAGCAGTAAGAATATGGTGGGTGTTTATGTCTTACTAGATGCTGCTAGCTAGGGAATGTTACCTTGAATATAGCACAAGAACTAGCTGGAAACAAGTTTAACAGAAACACTTTTCTTCTGAATGGTTACTTCTTTAAATGGGTAGTGGGTGGTTTGTTGTTTGGTTTTTTTTTAATGAAAGCAAGGTTGAACAAGGCTTTGAAGTTAAGTATGTGAATACTTTTTGCTTCAGTCTTCCTTGAAAAGCTTGTGTTTTAAAAGCAGTACTTAACGAAAACAGGCCATGAAAAGAAGCCACTGTTACAAGTATTCACTAGAAAACAAAGCAGTAGAGCAACACTATGATAGACATAGGTACTCAGCTGATAACCTGTGAATTAACTTTTGTAATAGTAGTCCCCCTCTTGCCTCATGAATTCATATCTGTGTGTGAGGGCTGAGGCATCCTGGTTGTGCGATATGGTCAATCCCGTCTTTTGATTTATAATAGAGTAGGGAATTTCAATCTCTAGAGTCAGCTCTCCTCCAGCACTAAATTGAAGTTATAAATTTATTTCAGCCATGGCACTCTTAATTTGTCGCATGTACTTTAAGTAGCAGACGTAGGTTTATTCTGTTCCCTACCATCCTTTTCATTCTTCAGCTTAACTTATATAAATATATACTCCAGATAGAAGGAAAACATTAGTGTCTTCCTGAGTGCCTGGTTGCTTTTTCAATCTCCAAGAAAGGTAATAGCCTACTAAATCTAAGCAGCTGGGAAAGAGTTCTCCTTGGGTGTGGAAAGAGAGGTGCTCTGTGGCTTACCATCCTCCTTATCTTGGAAAAACTGAGGTTTCCCGGTGACAAGAGAGACTTGGAGAAAGTCAGGTTCTCGTGTTGCAGTGTTATTTCAATTTAAATCATCACTGCTTTTTGTGAAACAGCCTTGTGGTGGAGGGTGTCAGTCCTCCTGATTTTGTTGTTCTACACTGTGCAGATTTTGAGGTCTACTCTAGACCTCTGCATACTTAATGATGTAATTGTGCAGCACCGCCATTTTTGGTAGCAGAACTGTAGAAAGATCTAGCCTCTAGCAGCTTTGGAGTCCTTGCACTCTTCATTGATTTGGAAATGCACACTGAATGTTAAAAAAAGAAGTAGGTAGGAGCATCTTGACCTAATCAGGTTTTATTTAAACACTAAAAGAATTGCTGAATTTCTGTTTTTTCAAAGATGGGTTTTCTGACATCCCTTGAGTAGAGCATAAGGAATAAATGATAGCTTCATTGCCTACCGTTTGTCATCTATAAGCTTGTGTGTTTAGAAACCATAGCGTAGGCTGTGTACTCAACAGGAAATACGAGTTACTGCCCAAAGTCTGACTGTCTGTAATCCGCTCTGGTGGGCGAATCATTTCAGCCGTGAGGCTCCAGCGCTGCCGTTTATTCTGCGTTGGTAGACTTGCCGAGTTGGTGCCTAGGATGAGACCAACATACCAGGGTACTAGCGCAGAACTGGAGGAGTTTCACCTATCTGTTGTAGTTGCTATTCTCAATTTTCTAACCAAAAGAGTAGATGGAATGTCAGCTTTCAATTTCATCCAAAGTGTGGGTAGCACATACTGGAAAAGTTTGAGTTTCTGTTCTTTTTCTCGATATTTTTTTTTTATCCAGTCAGGTTTTTGAACACTTGTAGTTGATACTACTGTCAGTCATTCATGCAGATATGACCCAGACTGGTTGTGGTAAAAAAAGCTTTGACTTCAAACGGCCACCTGGCAGGTACTGTAGAGTTGTTGTAGAGCTGAGAAGAGTGGTATCCTCATATTCGGAAATGCTGGCTAGTAAACTTAGTAGCCTAAGTTTATGCTGGCTCCCACCTGATCAAGACTGTGATGTTTGAAGAACAGTGTAGG